CTGTGTGCACCATCAGCCAAGCTGACACTGGAAACTGGAGCTTGTTTTACATTACTAAGCAAATTTACACAATTTACCACATGATGAGTGGCACTTCTGTCCAGCAACTAGTGGCCCTTCTTGGACACTTCTCTTGCCGCCACCATGAAGCTCCTATCTCCATTGGAAAAGCCCTTCCTTCTCTACCGATCCTGGGCCTGGTTTTGCTTTCTGCTGGATTTCACTGCTCTGCAGTCCTTCTGGAGGTGACCGGCTCTTTCACACAGAAAACACAGCTTGATAGAACAGCAAGATGGCGTCTCTCCTCCATGAACTGCAAGCATGTGGCAACCATCTGATGGAATCTTTCTGGTGGTGGGAAATTCTATAAACTGTCATTGGAGAGTTTGTAGTCTCCATCTGTTTGATGGTCCACCTCTGAGAAATGTAATTTAGAAAGAAACATGATATGGTAATATGCAAAAGAGTCTGTGATGGGCTTAATGGATTAGTTCTAGTGGGCACAATAGAATGTCCAGTCTACACAATGGATATTTTGAGTGATAACCATTTCAATGGGTGAACCTGTCTTGGTGCATAGGTGCTAGAGCCTTTCCTTCATCTGACGTACACCCATTGAGCAATTTCCCCTCTTTCTCCCAGTCCATTGTGAGCATATTATGGAAATTGAGGTAGCGGTGTTGGGGGAGACCAGACAATATTCCAGAGGTGATGATTCATGTTTGATGATGAGATGAAGACATTGCTCTGTTTCCATGATTTTTCCTATGCCTTAATACAAGGGTCCTCAAACTTTTTAAAGAGAGGGCCAAATCATAGTCCCTCAAACTGTTGGAGGGACGGATTATAATTTCAAAAAAACATGAATGAATTCCTATGCACACTGCACATATTTTATTTGTAGTGCAAAAACACTTAAAATCAATACAATAATTAAAATGAAGAACAATTTTAACAAATATAAACTTATTAGTATTTCAATGGGAAGTGTTGGTTGCTTTTGGCTGATGAGATAGGATTGTTGTTGTTGTTGTGTGCTTTCAAGTCATTTCAGACTTAGGTTGACCCTGAGCGAGGGCCGGGTAAATGATCTTGGAGGGCCACATCCGGCCCCCGGGCCTTAGTTTGAGGACCCCTGCCTTAATACATTGTCATCTACCTTACTAAACCACTTTAACTAGTTCACGTAGTGGTTTTCCTCCCCCCTCCAAAATTAGTCTGCTGTTATTGACGTTCCTAGCTATTTTTGTTATGTTGTTTTATGCTGTTTTAATTGTTATTGCTTTATTTTAATTGTATTCTGCCTGGGCTTGGGCCCCATGTAAGCCACCCCAAGTCCCTTCGGGGAGATGGGGGGGGGGGTAGAAAAAGAAGGTTCTTCATCTTTGTTGTCGCAGCTTAGTCTAATACATTTTTAATAAGGGAAAACGAAAACTTGTTGACAGAAAAAAATATATTGAAAAGAAGGGAGATTTCATTTAAAATGTCTTTTCTGAAAAATAATTGTACAGGCAGAGTGTGGGAAATTTTTGACTCACCCTTTTGTATTGGATGAGCAATGCAGTGTACATAGATTGTGTTTTAGTGATCACCCTGGTATAACAAAGAATAACCAAAGATAAATAATTAAACTTATTCATCTCAATCAACTTTTTCTTAAGATAAATGATACAAATCCACAAATAACTGAAGTTGTTTGCCTGGAAAAATAGTTATTTCATATCGGCCACATGATACCAGGCTGTGTAATTAATAACACAATCCTCCTGAGTTTTGCACTGAACTCTGCAGCATTATTTGACTGTTTCAAATGAATTAAAGAGCAGTGTTCCCTAACAGACATCCGCAGAAGCCTAGAGAGTACAACTCGATATTTCCTTTCAGTGAATTTCCCCAGAAAGCAGCAGTAATGGTCACCAATATGCCTATAGTTGAAATAATTTTTTGATCATTTCTGAAAGCAGCTTGAGTCCGCCTTGGGTGTGAGATAGGGTAGGATATAAATATGGTAAATAAACAAACAAACAAAGTTTGATTTATCCCAAACTTTAAAGGGGTCATCAAAGGTGATGCATTGTAAAGTCTGGACTAAAATTAGGGGCACACTTGATGTCGCTATGACACTGTAGAAACAACCTTTCCTAAGGAAAGATTAAAGCTTTTATGTTGCTCCATCCATTTGTGTGTTCAACTTAAAGTATTGTCTTTTATGCTGTAGAAATGTATTGCTATTGTGTTATCTAATGGGAGAAAAATAAATAGATGTTCCAAGGGCAAGGAGATTCATGTTAAACATGAGAAGTTATTTTGGAATTATTTCAGCTTCCTCTTCATCACTTACAATTGATTGGGCCATTAATAACAGAATCCTCCTACAATTTGCATTGTTTTCCATAGTATTTTCATTGTTCTAGTTATTTAAGAAGCTCAAAAGCAAGGTTTTCTGTGTTGGATACCAGAGGAAAAAGGAAAATCACAAATAGATAAATCTTCTCAGCTTTTTTTTCCTAGTCAACATCAAGAATGGATTGCAACTCAACTTCTCCACTTCATATCCTTGTGTGGAGCATCAGAATAATTGGAAACATAGTTGGCCTTTTAGGAAATGGATTTATCACAGTTGTTCAAGGTCACCAATGGCTTCAAAAAAGAAAGATTTTGCCTTGTGATTTCCTCTTAATTAATTTAAGTGCCTCCAGATTTATGATGCTGTGGTTGAAATCCATGAGCTATATTCTGTATTTCACCTCCACAGAGAGGTGTCTGCCTTCTCATAAAATTGCATATGGAACGATTATCTGGACTTTTATGAATTTGGCCAGCCTTTGGTCTGCCTCATGGCTAAGTGTTTTCTACTGTGTGAAGGTTGCTAACTTTACCAACTGCCTCTTCCTCTGGCTGAAGCCAAGGATCAACAAGCTTGTGCCCAGGCTGCTTGGATTGTCAATAGTCATTTCCTGTATCTTCTGTGTTCCTTCAGTTATTGAATATCTTGGACAAATAAGGGATGGCAACTTGACTGTAATCTTGCCAGTGAATATCAGCCAAAATGAGCCTTATAAGAAATATGTATTTCATCTGCAGCTGTCTTATACTTCCATAAATATTTGCATAAGTATAATTGCATCTACCTTTTTGCTTGCCTCATTATGGAAGCACACAAGGAATCTGAAAAAAAGTGGTCTAGGTAGTAAAGACATCAGCACTCAGGTTCACATGAATGTCATAATAGTGGTGCTCTCTTATATCTTTTTTTACCTTGCATTTCTCACTGCTTTAATAATTGGAGCAACTAATGATTTTAAGCCTAATAGTCCTGAATCATTTATAATTGATATTTTGGCAACTTCATTTCCTTCCACACACTGCATTATATTAATATTGACTAATCCCAAACTGAAAGAAATGGCTGCTCGCATTCTGAATATTAGGTAAAATGCTTCCTAAAAAGGAGAGCAGGACAGCAGATCTGTATTCTTTGAGTGTGTGTCCAGCTAGTGGTCTCAGATAGTGAGCTAATAATGTTGTCGAGCCACAATACTGCCCTTCTTAAGACATATTTCTCTGTATGTTTACGCTTGTACATTTTGAAGCAAATTGCTTTATTTATTTGCATCCTTTATTTGACTTTGCATCCTTTATTTGACTTCTCGATCCTGGCCTATCTGGTTTAGTATACACTCACCAAGCATGGCAGAGAATGTCCAATATATATTTCTGAAGTAATAGAAATAATACCAATAAGAGATATACTCTGGCAGTCTGAAATTATATTCAGAACCAAACTGGCATGTCACCCAGAAGAGGATCTTGTCATTAGATGGCCTTAGACCACTAGTGGCCTATATATACATTATATGAACCTAAAACACAGCTCCATTAGGAATACGAGTGTGCATGCCTTTGCCCTGTAGTAATCCCTTTATGAATTGACCCTGGAATGTTGTCTACAATTCTATCCAGACCCCAGGAAATGATTCCTTAAATTTTATAATCCCCTCACAATTGACTGGTAGATATGGGGGGGAGCACATAATGAACTTACATCGTATCACCTGGATTTTTCCCCTGCGTCACTTGATAAGATCATGGCTATCAGTGGGAAATATCTCCCATACCTCAAACCAGCCTCATCCTCATAACACCCAGTGAAATGGTCATCACCTTCAAGCACCCATTGTGCACTCTGGGCTAATGCCATAGTATCCACTGGAGCCAAACCATAATGCCCATAGCCTCACTGGCAATTCCTACACCACATGCCTTTCTGAGAGATGGATCAACAAAAAGACTGACAACTCTCCAATGATAGTTTATTGAATTTCCTGTCATGATGAAGAGTCAACTAGCAATGATATCAGATGGAATCCAGAGTCACTCAGGATGAGAGTCCTAGCGAGACGGTTGCACGACTGTCTTCACTTCTTCATCAGCTCAGCCTAAAACATTTTTAATAAGGGAAAATGAAAGCTTGTTGACAGATAGACAGAATGTTCTGAAAACAGGGAGATTATGTAAAAATGATGTATTTGTCTTTTCTGAAAGTTGATTAAAATAAATTCTAGAGTGCAGGTAACTTTTGACTCACCCTTATCTATTGGATGTGCGCTGGAGTGTACACAGACTGTGTTTTAGTGATCACCCTGGCATAAAAACAATTACCAAAGATAAATAATTTAACCTATTCATCTCAATCTACTTTTTCTTAAGATAAATGATACTAGTCTACAAATAACCAAGTTGTTTACCTGGAAAAACGGTTATTTCCTATCAGTCACATGATGCCAGGTTGCATGTTTAGTAACACAATTTTCCTGAGTTTTGCATTGAACTCCATAGTATGATTTGACTGTTTCAAATGAACTAAACAGCAGTGATCTCTATGATTTCATTGTTGCAAATGAACTAAAGAGCAGTGTTCTCTAACAGACATCCAGTAGAAGCCTAGAGAATACAAYGCGATATTTCCTTTCCAGAAAGCAGCAGTAACAATAATCAAAATGCCTATAGTTGAAATCATTTTTTTGATCATTTTTGAAATTGTGTCTTTTATTGGTATTTTGGAAAATGGATTCATTATAGTTGTGAATGGACACCAATGGTTCCAAAACAGGAAGATGATCCCTTGTGATTTCCTTCTGACCAKCCTGAGTTCCTCCAGGTTTATCATGCAGTTGGGTTTTCTCATATACCACATTTTGTACTTCAMTCTAAATATTAATTTACAGCTTTTCTTGGGGGATGTTATTTTCTTTTGGTGGATGTTTTTCAACACGATCAGCAACTGGTGTGCCACGTGGCTGAGTGTTTTCTATTGTGTAAAGGTTGCCAACTTTGCCAACCCCCTCTTCCTCTGGCTGAAAGCAAGGATCAATGTGCTTGCASCCAGGCTGCTTGGACTGTCCRTAGCCATTKTCACAGTCTCTTGTCTTCCTTCACTTGTTGATTATTTTGGACACACAAAGTGGTACAATCTGACAGAGACTCTGCCGGAAAATGCCAGCCGAAGAGATGTTTATGTCATCGCTCTCATTATTTTTCTTCCCATGCAATTTTCTTTTTATGTCATAAATTTGTGTGTAAGTACAATTGCATTCATTCTTTTGCTTGTCTCTCTGTGGAGACACACAAGAAATCTAAAGAAAAGTGGTGTTGGTGTTAAGGACCTCAGCACTCAGGTCCACATTAAAGTCATGGCATTTTTGTTGTTCTGGTTTTTCTTCTACTTCATAGATTTCATTGCTCTGATCATTTATGCTGACTTCCTTAATAATATGAATAAGACTGGGAGAGTTCTAGGACTACTTCTTGGCATCTGGATGTCTGTGTTTCCTTCTGCACACTCTATTATATTAATCTTAACCAATCCTAAACTGAAAGAAATGTATACTTGCATCATAAAAGTAATGTATGCTCACATCATGAACATCAGACACAGCACTTCATAGCATGAAAAAAGAGCAGCAGAGGGCAGAGAAGACATCTCTCTCCACATCTAAATAAATGCACGTATGACCAATAAATCACCAGAATTAATTACTATTAAGGATCACTAGGGACGGTGGTACTGTTTGAAAATACTCAATTAAGACAATTATAAGACTGACATTGCTCCTCCTAGAAACCTGCAGTCTTGGAATATCTGGCTTTTCTCCTTAAATCTGATATAAGATACATTACTAGATATTTGTTAGGACCTCTCAGAGTCCTAATCCAACAAATAATGAATCTGTAAAATAGTACATATAAGGTGGGCCTATAATTTTGAACAAATGGACGTATGGGGAAAATGTGGGGTAAAGATATACAATTTAGTTTGTATGGTAATTTAAAAGAAAATATGTAACAATTAGAAACAATTTGTGTACATTTTGACCAATAGGAAATCTTATCATGTAATAATATAAATAATTATGCTATCTCTGAAATGGTAGATTAATATATTTTAATTGTTGTATTTTGCATTACATTTAGAGTGGGGGCAAGAGTTTTTGTGCTATAGTTGGTGATTAGTTAGGTTGTTTTAAGTGCAATAGTTTTGCATAATAGTACAGAAATATGTTAGAGCTTTAGTTTAGTTTAAGTTTGACTACACATTTATATTACATATGTATATATATTTCTTTTTTCTTTCAGAATGCTGATTATTCTGTTGTGAACTAGTTTTCATTAAAATCAATAAATAAGTCCAGTCATGTCTGACTCTGAGGTGTGGTGCTCATCTCCATTTCTAAGCCGAAGAGCCAGCGTTGTCCGTAGACACCTCCAAGGTCATGTGGCCAGCATGACAGCATGGAGCGCCGTTATATATACACACTTTTTTCTTTCAGAATGTTGATTATTCTGTTGTGAATTAGTTTGCATTAAAATCAATAAATATAAAATCTTTTAATATGTCACGATAAAGTGTTTGTAATGACACATTGGAATCTATGGTAGAAGAATAATCTGCCACATGCAAGTAACGGTTGACATCTTAAGTGTGAAAAGGTTACTGAAAATTGTGATGTAAAATGTTTCTTGCATTTTAATACTGATATATAATTAGTATAGAATGTGCCTATGGTTGAGAAATTTGAAGTTTTTTCTCTAGAGGTGGCAAATGAACATTACATTTTTATTTATATAGACATCTCACTGCTTCCTGGATTTTTGGATGGAATCTCAATCACTTATGGTCCAAAAATACATTCAATAGCACTTGGTAAACTGAATCCAGAGCATTGTAATCTATCTATCTATACCCATAATAAAAGTGAAAAATGTGTATCTGCATATGTGGCCAAGGTGTCTACTCACACAGACAGCCTCCCACCTCCACAAGCAAGCTATAGTTCTAGGTGCTGAGAAGCCTTCAAAGGCACTCCCTCAATTGACACTGCAGGTTATAGTGAGCACCAGGAACATGTAGCCCAAATGCTGCTAATGTCCTCCCCAAACACTAACCACTCAAGGAATGCATTCATTCGGGGACATTTCATCCTAGATTTGATGTGCTTCCTCCACCACAGGCAGGCATCCCAGGGGTCCTTGTGTGGAATTTGCATGACCCCACCCACTGGCTCTCCCTTAACCCTTTCCTCCCATTTTCTATGACACACAGCCAACACAGGGGGGTTGATCAGCAACTGAACAGACTGGAGGGGTTTGAGGGACTGACTCAACAGGATGGAAGTTGTAATTCACTGTGCATGAAGGCAGAACACTATGAATCCCTTCAATAATAGACCTGGACCCCATTTGGTATGCAGAACCCCATGATCAGGTTTGGGGAAATTGACCTTGATTTATTGGAGTTGGAGTTCAGCTACATTCAGAGAGCACTGTGAACCCAGCCAACGATGGATCTGGACCAAACTTGGCACACAAACCCAACATGGAAAACTGTGCATACTAGCAGGGTTTGGGAATGATTGCCCTGGGAATCTGTGAGTTGTAGTTCAACCTTATCCGTACACCAGTGAAGCCAGCTGACGACAGATCTGAACCAAACTTTGCACACAGAACCAACATGGGCAACTGTGATTACTGGCTGGGTTTATGGTTGATTGCCCTGGGAATCTGGGAGTTGTAGTTCACCCTCATATAGATATCAATGAACCCAGCTGATATCGGATCTCGACTACACTTGGCACACAGACCCAACATGGCAAACTTTTAATAATGGCAGGGTTTGGGAAGGATTGACTCTCGATTCTAGGAACTGTAGTTCACCCACATCCTTATACATTTTCTATTGGGAGCATTCATTAAAAAAAGAAAAGAAAAAAAAGGAAAGACTGGCTTTTTTCTAATAAATAGCGTTAGACATTACCAAACTGATATAACTAAACTTCAAAAAACAAACAATGCCTTTCTCAACCTGAGCACTGCCGGGTCCCCAAGCTAGTTTAATAATAAAAATCAAACACTTTCCCCTTTGATGATGAAAGATACCCCAACAAGATTTTAAGAAAATGGAAAAATTTAAAATTCTTGACTAACAAACCAAAGCAGAGGAAGATTTCATTTAGGTGAGAAATGTTAAAAAGACTATTACACACACAAAAAAAGTTTTCCGACATACATTTTGCAGTTTAGCAAAAATTGCTCCCAGCACAGAACAAGTCCAGCCTTCAACTCTTTATGCTACTTTCCCAAGTGGTCTCACCTGTTGGCTCTTTGCTGAGCCAACCTAATAGATCTTCTCAGCTGAATACACTCGGTTCTCAACTGCAGCTGAGCTGGGATACTTAACTCTGGCTCTTCCTTTGAGGGTTCCTGATCCTGCCATGAATCATCCATCTGATTCTCTTGAAGCTCCAGGATCACCTCTTCAGAGCTAGTATTTTCAGGATCTGCTTGCTGATCCAGCACTGCTACAGACTCAGATCCCAGGCAGAGAGGCCCTTCATTGTTGTCTTCAGCACTGATCCTGACACACCCTGCATACTCGTGGACAGCTGCTGGGCTCCTCCACATCAAAATCAGACCCCATCCCTTGCTCCTCCCCTCTCAGAGGTAAGACAGAGTGTGGCCTAATGTGATGATTAAGCGATGAAACACCAGAAGACAATTCTGGGACCCCCCCCCCCCCCAAGGGGTTTGAATGGTGGTGAACTTTACATGGAGAAATACAGTCTTTTAAAACCAACATGTTAGGAAGGTCGGCATGAAAACTCATGTTCAGGGGACAAGAATTCTAATTGTTAGAGCTTATGCGCCATTGGAAAACCGAACATATTTTTTGAAAAAAGTGATGGATGAGCGATTAACCTCATATAAAAACTGGGTGTTTTGGAAATATTGGAAGTAGTTATGTCTTGTCAATGAGACAGGAAGCCTGATAAGGGCATTAAACCTCATTACACAAAGAAAAAATGTCCCTGAAATACAGGAATAGTCAGCGTACAGTTCAGGGTTCAGGCCAAACAGTATCGTCAAATCCAAACGGTCTTCTAAAGCATAGTGAAATCCAGGAAGAGTCAAGGTACAAGGAAAGTGTAGTCAACCCAGCAAGAGTCCAGGTTCAAGGCAAGAATTCGCCATCAGGGATTCTAGCTGTACAGCTCAACAAAAGTTGCTCCCAGCACAGAACCAGACAATAAATCTGATGCCTTATGAAACTCAGTTATTTTGAATCTGCTAAGAAGTTTAAAATGATCAGAAAACAAACTGAGGGGTGGCATAAGAAAAAAGTATTGAAGGTACAGAATTGGATAGAGATAACTACAGAAAATGGGAAACATTTTAAAACATTTCACAAATATTACTTTTCTTTATTAAGACAAGTGTCAGTTCAAAAATAGAGGAATATTTTTTAAAAAACATGATTCACCACTGTAATTCTCTCTATCCAATTCTGTTTCAGATTCACAAAGACTGAACAGTTAGCGAGTAAGGGATGTTATAAAAAGATGGTCTTACGGATAAGAATTTTAACACAAGGAAAAGCAAAAAAGAGTAAAATATAACAACAAATGCGTTGTGGGAAGAGTTTAGGTGGGATGTGCACCTTTGTCAGGTATTCCAAAAGTCTGTTTGTTTCAAAGTTTGTTTCTGTAAAGAATATGCAGTGAAGCATTTCTCAACCTGGGGGTTGTGAGACGGTATCAGAGGGGTCGCCAAAGACCATCAGAAAACAGTATTTTCTATTGGTCATGGGGGTTCCGTGTGGGAAGTTTGGCCCAATTCTATTGTTAGTGGGGTTCAGAATGCTCTTTGACTGTAGGTTAACGATAAATCCCAGCAACTACAACTTCCAAATGTCAAGGTCTATTGTCCCCAAACTCCACCAGTGTTCACATTTGGGCATATGGAGTATTCGTGCCAAGTTTGGTCTAGATCCATCATTGTTTGAGTCCACAGTGCTCTCTGGATGTAGATGAACTACAACTCCAAAACTCAAGGGCAATGCCCACCAAACCCTTCCAGTATTTTCTGTTGATCATGGGAGTTCGGTGTGCCAAGTTTGGTTCAGTTCCATCATTGGTGGAGTTCAGAAAGCTCTTTGATTGTAGGTCAACTATAAATCCCAGCAACTACAACTCTCAAATGATAAAATCAATCCCACCCAACCCCAGTATTCAAATTTGGATGTATTGGGTGTTTCTGTATTGGGTATTTGGTCCAGTAAATGCAAATACATCCTGCATATCAGATATTTACATTACAATTCACAACAATAGCAAAATTACAGTTACAGCAATGAAAATAATTTTATGGCTGGGGGTCGCCAGAACATGAGGAACTGTATTAAGGGGTCACGGCATTAGGAAGGTTGAAAACCACTGAGCTAGAGCTTTCCAGCCTTTTCATGTTGGTGACACACTTTTAAACATGCACCTTTTGGCAACAAAGTAATTCAGTTTTACTAGCAAACCAGGAATAAAGCAACCCCGTATAACAGTTTCATACATATATAAACTTTTAAAAAAATATCTTTTACTGCATAATAGGCCTGGGTAAC